CGTGTACGGTATCCCGAAGACCCTGGACTCATGACTTTTGCACGCACCTGGATTCCTAAAGAGAGTTTGCTATAGAACTCTTAACATCCCAATTCGTTTGTTACATGTTACATCTAACTTTTGAGAGAGAAAGAGAGAGCGGGAGAGAAAGAGAGAGTCGGGATTTTTGATGTAAGAATAAGCTGTGTTCCGGTGTCATTTGGGGAGAGTTGTTGTTCTGTGCAAAGGTGGAACCTGGAGGCTGTGTAGGATGAGAAGGATGAGATGGAGGGCTACCGAGAGTGACGGTTCCCGTGAGACATGGTTTCGTTTTGGGGAATCAGGGCTCCAGCAGGGGGCCGGCTGGGAGCAGCTGTAGGGGGTGCGGGGGGGTTGGCTGCTTGAGGCTCAGATCTTTGGGGGCCTCCTCCAGAAACAGAACACTTCCAGGGCCATAAATTAGGATAATGCAAGGACAGCGATTCACATGCAGCATGGCTTCCCTTCTGTAATGGTGTTTTGCAATTTTTTGCATGATATTTTGGATCGAATATTTCCTACTATTCTCACTGTAAGACCACCCCTTCCTCAACTCCCATGCCCCCCGCCCCATGCTCCCCCCTACACTCATCCCCCTTTCAAAACGGCTGCTTAGCTGCACCGAACCTGGACAGAAATAAGCCACGAAGCGTCTGTGGACTGGTCCCTACCCCCGCTGCAAAGGAAGGATTCGAGTTGGACTTTCCCGTCCCTCCTCGAATGCGGCGTTGCGCCCATTCATTGCCCGCAACCCTCGCAAAGACTCCTTCCCGCACCTCGCCCCCTCTCCTCCGTCTGCCTGCCGTGCAGACATACGCCTTGTACAAACGCAAAATTGTACCCCCACCCTCCAAACGTCGCCCCCAGCGAGGGCCCGGCCGCCGAAGCGAGACCCGCCGCCACAACCGAAATCACCAGTCACAGCCTTTCATCGCTTCACTCACCATGCGCTTCGACATGTTTCGCAGACGCCCTGCCCCCCCGCCCTCCCCGGCACCGCCCTCGCCCGCACCGTCCACACGGTCCGCTTCAGGCTTTCGCGACAGCTTTTACGATGCCACTCACTCGTCCCCGGCACCGCTCAAACCCGTTCTCATGAGTCGCCCCTCTTACATGCGAAATTTGCAAGCCCGAATGGAACAAATGGAGAGAGTTCCCACTAGGTCGTTTTTCCAGTCATACGCAGGCGAATTTGACGTAAGTTACCTTCCATCTCTGTCTTTTTTTTTGCACGCAGAAGGCTTTTCGCATTCCCCGCGCGGGCTTGTTGTGCAGCCGCCACTTTGAAGATGTCAAAGCTGTCTGCAGTTAGAGATCTCCCCGGTTTGCGTTTCTCTAACCTCCTAATTTGATTTTCGAACGCTTGAACAACGTGTGTTCTTTACGTAGATGCTCCAAGGAGAAGACCGCAGGGCTTTTCGAAGGGAGCATGAGTTCGAGACTAGCACCAAGATCGAGAATTCTTACCGCAACCGATACGCAAACGTGCTCTCCAACGAACCGACACGCGTTAAGCTCCAGGATATTGCTCCGGGAGAAAATGACTACATTAACGCAAATCTAGTTAGAGGCTATGATAGCCATCCTGGCTATATCGCAACCCAAGCACCTTTGCCGGAAACAATGCCGCATTTCTGGCAGATGGTCTACGAGTCGGTCACGCCTGTTATTATTATGCTCACCCGAGAACAAGAAGATCATTGTACAGTGACTAAGAGCGAGAGGTATTGGCCTGCTGTTGGTGAAGATCTTCTATTTGATCATTACCTCGTTCATGGGCTTGAGGAATCGGTTAACCGAGCGCACGGGATCACGGAGAGGCGCTTCCAGGTTGCCCGCGTCGTGGATTCAAGAAAGAAACATGCCAAGGATTTGGTCGATGCCGACTCTTTGATTCCTCACTGCAGTGACGGCACAGTTTTGCAGACTCCAGCTCGGGGGAGGTCTCAGAGTCATTGCGACGAGGATAGCGACGACTGCGAGGACAATGAGGAACTCATGCGTCATCTCGAAGCAATTGGCACGGTGCTGGAGGTGGTCCAATTACAATACACCGATTGGCCGGATCAGGAAGTGCCGGAGAATCCTCACACTCTCCTCGATCTGGTGCGCCGCGTTGACACCCTGTGCAGGACTCAGCGTCTGCGGACTGGCGTACCGGCGCCTCCGGTGGTGCATTGCTCAGCCGGCGTGGGCAGGACTGGTACGTTTATAGCAATTGACAAGACGCTGAGAAGGCTATGGGATGCCTTTTCTCATCCTATTGGTGCTGGATGTCAACCTGTGTGTGTTGAGGAAATTCGAGAATTGGTGCGAGGACTCAAGAATGATAGAAGCCGAATGGTGCAGACGGCAGAGCAGTACCGGTTCATTTACGAGGCAGTCCTAGCAGGACTGAAACGATGGGAAACGGGGCATTTGACCTTTCCCAGGCGAATTACTGACAGTTCACAAGCAAGCAATGAAAATGGTCGGACGTCATCGCAAGCTGTAGATGATAACAAGGACGAAGAGTTGAGATCCCAGGCGCATTCATCGCCCAGGCACAGCGGCAGTGGAAGGGGCAGTGCCGGCCCGATAATCGGCCATTCGTCAAGGATACGGATGGATTAATGGTCTGGCATAGGAATTGAAGGTTTACTGTTTGGCCTGGAACGGTGAGATCTCCGTGTCGTGTACAGGTGCATGTACGTTGTGTGTATTAAAGTTATGCGGAGGATAGCCTACCCCGACATTTTAGCTAGTATCTAGACCAGTTTCGAGTGGCAAGGATTGTGTTGAAAGCTTTGATTCGCCGCGGGCGGAATCCTGCTCCGGGGTACCGTCGCGTACGTGCACAAAAAAGCGTGCGAACTCACGCTGAAAATAACAGGGTCCTTTGCTCTGAAACGCCTCCTTATCAAGAAACCCACAGTGGCCGCCGTGCTCAGTGACATGCAACAACACAGGAGCATCGCCAATCTGGTTTGCCGTAGGGAACTTTCGCCTTGACTCGTGGTCGAAGAAAGGGTCGTCCCTCGCATTAATCACATAAGTAGGCACTGTTATTCGATTCAAAACGGTCGCTGAATTAACCTTCCATCCCAAAAGCCATGACGAGAAGAAGAAGTCAGAAATTGATGCAACATGCAAGGCAGCAAGGACGAAAAAGTGCATCGGCGACATAACAGCACACGTCACACACAAGGTTAGAAATCAAAACGCGAAGCACTTGCTATTCCACACTCGAAATCGTTGAGCAACGTGCGGCGCAATCCGCATTTTGCTATCGTACCTCTTCGTAATAGTGCAAGCGATTCCTGAAGCCGAAGACCGGAGAAATGAAAGCGTCATCAATCTTGCCAACTCTATCCGCCTTGAGCACGCTGTCCACCTCGCACAAGCCAATGTCCACCCCGCTGTCGACCGCTTTTCTAAACTTGCTATGCATGGTGGTGACCATTCGCTTGCTGTATACATACCCCCTCCAGCCATTGTCCAGCTTCCTCTGGCATGATTCGGGATCGAACGGCACACAGGCGGCGGCGGCAGCCACGACGCCATCCAGCTGCAGGGCGCGCGGGCCGCGGCGCGCAAGATACTGGCACACGACGTTTGCGCCGAGCGAAAAGCCGCATAAATAAACATCCGGCGGTAAGGTGCGTTTTCGCAAGGCATCTACGCGCACAACGCGTAACAAAGTCTGGAGGTCCTCCGTAAAGCCCGCGTGGTAGAGACGCAAGGTGGAAGGAATGTCGTCCGTGCCAGAGGCGCACGTGCGGAAGTTGAGGGCGGCGACTTGAAAAGCGCTGTGGCCGAGGGCGGCGACGATGCGTCGGGTGACGGTAGCGTGGGAATTACTTTCGAGACCGTGGAGGACGACGGCTAAGGGGGGTTGCTTTGGGGTATGGGGTTGGCTCTCGAGCTCGGTGAGGAGATTTTGATCGAGGGGAGGAACGATGGGGAAATCGAAAGTAGGTGGGTTGGGAGTGAATGCGTAGTCGACGTGGAGGAGAGCGTGGGAATCATCGGAGGGGAAGGAGCGGCGAGTATAGTCAAAGGGAGGGGCGGGGGGGTAAAAGTGGGGGAGGATGGTTTGAAAGTGGGGGTTGGGTGAGAGGTACGGAAGGAACGGCAGGGGTGTGTAGGTGCGCACAGCGCTGCGGGGGGTGGATTGGGGAGCGGAGCGGGGCGGCATAGGGGGGATTGGGGGGGCAAGTTTGTGAGGCAGCGGGACGGGAGCAGCGAAGGAGAGGGCAGTCGACATCGGGGCCGGCGGATGGGGTGGGCGGGGAAAATGAAATGCAGCAGAGGGATGCTGCAGAGGACACGAAGGATAGCGTAGCAGCTAAGGGAGCGAACACGCTGGCAGGGGGGAGCGGGAGGTCGGTGATGGCTCGTTGACGTGGAAGAGGGGCAGAACATGTGATTAAAGGATGGTGGGATGCCGCCTGATCCGGATTGCCTCCATCTTCCGAGTTCCTACCTCCTGCTTTACAGTTTACGCACATGGCAGGAGTTTACCCGACGGCCCAAAATAAAACAAAACACGAAATCAACGGCGCGCCTGGCCCTGAAAAGTGAGCTGCACCCCATCTTGTACATACAGCCACCCGACAGGGCAACAAGGGAGGAAGAATAAGCTGGATCAGTCAAAAAATATCCCCTTGGATCTGCCGGGCTTCGATCCCGGTACTTCTCGTAGATTCTGCACCAATGAAGGCACGACTTCTTGCTACATGTTGCGAAACGAGCACTCTACCAATTGAGCTACAGACCCACGATAGGCATGTACGGTGGTGTCGGAGATGTGTTTATAAATACGCTGTTAAACTTCTAGAGTCGGGGGGCTATTTTTTTTCCAGTCCGTGAAAAAAAAAAATAGAATTCTTCACGGACTGGCCCCTGCTGTTAGATCAAAATGTGAGTCTTGGCCGCCTGTCCTGTGATAGAGCATCGGCCGCGCACACCCAGCGATAAATAAGGCCCTTTTTTCCATGAATGAAGGAACTCATGGAGGTACTGTATCTGCTGGTACGACGTTCCAGGGTGCAGGCTCCCAGGATGCAGGCATGCACAAGATAATATAGCAGACATGCCTCACACGCATCAGAAGTATGGTGTTAATATGCGTAGATTAAAAAGCACGCGTCTCCATGATTAAGTGGTAAGTCATGCACGCGGGTCTTCATTGAGAAAAGAGAGCGGGCGGTTGACGCTGAAGAGCCAGAATTCATGAAATCCGAGAAATTTTATTGGTAAATAGGGAGAAGGGGCGGGTGCAGGCCGTGCCGGAGGTCGCGACACTGTGATCGGGGGGTGCGATTGGCGGCCCCCACACCGGCGGGAAGCAATAGCTCCTGGTTTACAGGTGCGCGAGGCTGATCGCGTGTCACAGGCAACGATTGGGGCTCCCAGCGTGCAGCCTACAGTTAAAAAAAGCGGTGCCGTGCACGCCGCTGCACCCCGCCAAAAGCTGGCATCACACAACCGCACGGAGCGTGCTCCAGCGGAAGGTAGCAGCAAAATGGCGCACCCGCTCACGTCGCACCCTGCATCTCTAGCCTTCATACAATACAGTACAACACCCCCCCCACCCTCCCCTACATAAATGCAACAACTCTGCCTGCCTCTCGACGCCCTTCCCGTCACATCTCCCCCGCCCTCCCGCTTTCCTCCCCTCCTTCCCCCACCCCCCCCGCCCCCCCCCACCACGTTACCCCAGCCCAGCTGAAACACAATGTCTCGCTCCAACACGGCCACGTCTGTAACCCCACCGCCTATCTCGCTGGACCGTCTCTCCTTCCTCACCCATCGCATCACCCACCTCCTTTCTACACGTCCCGAGCAGGACGCAAACACTGCCGATCTCTACAACGCCCTCCTTGACCTCGACCGCGTCCTCATCAACCTTTCACACGACCCCACTTCACCCCAACTCCTCTGGATAGACGACGTCTTCGCTGCCCTTCGAGTCGTCTACCCAATCCTCAACCATCCCCAAGATTCCCCCTCTCCTCAAATCCAATCGCCCCTCCAATCAGACCCCCGCCGCTCCTCCTGCCTCTCCCTCTCCCAACAAAAGCTTCATTTCCAGAACCCTCTCCTCGCCCTCGCCCCTATCCCTTCCCTCCTCCGCCGCTCCGTCCGCTCCCTCATCTCCACGCAGCCACCCCCTCCACCGCAAACACCGCATCCACTTCTCAATGCCACAAAAGTTGTCAACGAGTGGGTCAACGCAATCCAATCTCATCAAAAGCCCTCCACCCAGGACGATTCCGAATCATGGCTCTCCCTCTCAGACGCTCTACCGCCCTTGCCCCAGCAGTATGCCTCTGCCCGCGATGAACTATACACAGTAGTTCTCGATTCCCTAATCGCCGGAGCAGACGAGGCACAACGCTCAGACTCCCCTGCCACAGTTGCAGTCGGCCTTCTCGGGCCAAGAGGCGTCGGAAAGACCATGCTCGCCGCGGAGCTTGTACATGATCCGGAGCTCACCAGGTCCTTTGCGGATGGTATCGCATGGATACAGCTCGGTCCAGATATCAATGACGAGGAGCTCGCAGACCAGATTATCCACTGCGTTGAGACTATCATCGCCGGTGATTTCCGCTCATCCGTCGCCTTCTGCGACTCTTTAAACAGTGTCGTCGACAAAGCCGCCAGAGTCCTCACACAGGTCTCAAGCCTCATCGTTGTTGACGACGTATCAGGGCCCAATGCCCAACGCGCCTTCGACATCGTCATCTCCGCTTTGGGTGATTCTTGCGTCGCACTCTACACCTCTCCCATTGATGAAGATGAGAAGATTGGCGAGACCCTCAGTCTCCAAAATGTCGCTTGCGTCGCTCGAGTGCCCATGACTGCCCTCCCACCCATGTCCCCTGACGCCTACGAGATCTTCAAAGGATGGCTCAAAGCAAACGATAGCGACACTGTCGACACTCCAAGTGATGAAAGAGCTGGTCAACGAGACTTGATTGTAAAAGCGTGTCATGGTCTCCCGCTTCCACTCGCTATGACGGCAGGTTTCCTCTCCAAGTTTCCGGATTGTTGGGACGAAGTTACACAAGTCGTCGACGGCTCCCCCTGTGGTGACGAAACCATCAAGAGGCTCATGGCCATGCTTTTGAAAAAGGGTGGGCCCAAGTTCCAGGCCCAACTGCTCGCAATAACATGCTTGCCGCGAGGGGTGTGGGTCTCTCTGTCCGCACTCGCAGATTTGTGGGGCGTAGACCACTCAGCCATTAACCTCAAGGCACGAAGGTTGGGTCGCTTAGCATTTGCAGAATACCGGTTGGGAGATTCGAGCGATGAGAGTCGCGTGCGATTTCACTGGCACATTCTTCGTTACTGCCATGACATGACAAGCACTGCCGACATCACCGCTGCGAATCGCAAGCTGCTTAGTAACGTTTCAAGACGCAAGGTGGCCAACGGCAAGCCGAGACGAAAAAGCGACTATGTCCCTTGGTGGGGCGCATGCATGAGTGACAAATACATTCGCCGAAGATTGCACTGGCACATGGCCCGCGCTGTTTCGATGGGTAAACTCAGTGACTTGATTTGTGATTTTCAGTGGGTGTGTCAGAGGTTGGAGCGCGATGGGCTCGTAGGGATGGGAATTGAATTCAGGCTTGGAATTGCGGCCGAAGAAAGAGAAGGAAAGACGTCTGAGGCGCAGGGTATCCGGCGTATGCTTGTCGCAGTCCAAGAAGCCTCGAAACTCCGTCAAGCAGAACGGCTGGAGATGAGTGCATTACCAACTTTTCTTATTTCGGCACTTTCCGAGCACGAAACGAAAAGCATTGCATGTACGCATTTTCTCAACTCTATCTTCGACAAGGCGAGGCGACCATGGTTGAGGCCAATTCTTCGCACTTCTGCCAGCTCCATATCTTCTCAGGAAGAGATCATGCCAACAGAAGACTCTATTGACTCAGACGCCTTCGTCGAGCAAACAAACTGCTTGGCCGCCACCGAATCGGGGTACCTTGTTTGTGGAGACAAGAAAGGAAACGTTTCCGCACATGACCCGAGGACGATGAAGGCTGTGCGATCATGGAAGTCTAGCAAAGTCGGGGGGCATCCCCAGTCACGCGGGGTCGGGGCAATAGCAACAGTGAAAAATTTCGTTCTATCGGGCCATTTTAATGGGCGCTTGTTTATGCGGTCCATTGACAGCGGAGACACTGAATTATTGCAAACACGACATCAGTCGCTGGATAAAATTACTTCCATCGCGGCCTCGGAAGACGGCATCATTGCGGTTGGGTCACACACTGGACAGCTTTTCGTGTTGAAAGGTGTGTATGGCTTCAACTGCGTCCCACAGCAAATCGACCTGGAGGGACACTGCGACATTGTCACCAGCCTTCTCGTCTTTCCGGATGGCCGGCGAATCGCGAGCAGTAGTCATGATGGCTTCGCTGCTGTTTGGGTCCTCCGATCGACAGGTTGCGAACGAATATCTTTGAATGGACACAAGCCTGAAATTGGTCACAAGGAGAACTATATCACAAACTTTGCAACGATTGCAGGTGGCAAGCGGCTGCTATCTGCTTGCCGCGGCGGAATTGTGAACTTATGGAATTCAGAAACTGGTGATTGCCTCTGGGCATTCCGATTTGGATTCGAATTCAGTTGCAGCCTATCGTTGCAGTCATTTGGTGTTGAGCTATGGAGATCGTCAATGAGCGATGCGGCGAAACCGAAGAAGCTCCTCAGGGTCGGGAACCCGTATTTAATTTCCAGGGGACCTGGGCCGGAGGATCTTCTGATAATTGCAGCTGGAATCAGCACTGACATTCGTGCAACAGTAGCCACAGAGAAGCCGATTGCAAGTTGGTTGGAAGTGTGGCACCCATCCACTCAGCGTATCTATGCCGTTGTGTCGTATTTCGACGGGCAATTAGGTTCGTACGAGCTTGTAACATCACTCAAGTGAAGTGAGGCTTCACACAAACTTAATAACAAGAAGAGTTGTTCAGATATAGTTGGTGGCACACACCTAGATTTTAAATGACACCTGTAAATAGAACGGCGCTCACAATCCCCATCTCCAAAGAGCTTAGTGGGTGTGCAGCATGAAAAGAGAGCGCTACCTTTACCCACAAGAATTGCTTGCTTACATGTCCCATGAAGGCAATTCTAAAAAAGGGTCTTGAGCTGTAGTTGGCAATGCAGGAGAAATAGGTGTGGAATATTCTTTTCAGTTTCGCCTTCAGGAAATATCCGTTTGCTCTAAAGGAACACCTCCGTGACAGCGTTTCGGCAAATCGTTCTGCAACGTTGTTCCATCGCATGATGTCATCTGGGAATGCCAATGCCTTCGAGGTCAAGAATCCACCATACTGTTGTCATCCTACCACACGTACCATACGTGACACGCGTCATATGCATGCCGTGATGAAAACGCAGAAAGCACAATCTATATCCTCAAGTGGACCGCGTCCACAGCATCTTGACCGGTTGAGAACACGGTGTCTCATGCATGTTAAACGGTAACTGGAACGCGAATGATTGTACTCTATCGCTGTCACGGTATGTATTCACTTGACGCCTGAACCACCCTGAAGCATTCGGACCATCTATACACAATTCCGATTTTGACAATCATGATTGCCGAAGTTGGCGTGTATTAGCAATTCATGTATGAGCACTCCAAAAACTATTCGATTCGACTGTGGGAAACAGGGTGCGGGAAACTGGCTTGCTCTCTACGGTCTTTATCCACAATGTCGCATACGGATCATGTACAGAAATTACTTTAATCCGATAGCCGGATGTACACAAATTCTATTCAAAACGCCCGTTCCGAGGAAGATAACAATCTATGCAACGGGGGCCACAATATCTACATCTCTACAGGTTCACAGCCACTTCCATCGCGACTGCCACTTTCTTCGTCAGCAACAGCGAATGTCTGTACACAGTATACGGCCCCTCTCGAATCGAAAGCGAATCCGATAACCACCTCTTCAAACCAGTCGCGCACCATGTTTTCTAAATGACCGCTCGAACCGATCCACTGGTCGACGCAAGCACGTGCATAGTCACCATCTTCGAAGTTGTACGCGATATTCTCGCCGCTTATCCTTCGACCACATCGCACTTCACTGTTTGCAGTGTCAAAGTTCTGATGAACCAGTCCTTGCCTGCGCGCCAGATTTTCAGCCCACCTATCTGCATTGGCCAACATGCTTTCAGACCCCACCTTCAACATCGTACTGACTCCATTGCTCCGCCGCACATCATTCGTGTATTTCACAGCCTTCATGCACCAACAGCGAGTGTCATTCTTCTCGCATGCACCGGGGCTCGACGGCGGGCCGGACGGCGGCGAAGCAGGTTCAGGTGTGGGCGTTTCCATCGGGACTGGCAGAGGTTCAGATACGGGTGTTTCCATCGGGACTGGCACAGGTTCAGTGACAGGTTCAGATACGGGTGTTTCCATTGGGACAGATACCGGTTCGGGCGACGTATTAGGTTCAGAGTCACCTCCGGATGTGGAGGGCATTTCCCCCATCTTTGAAGTCACAGATCTGCATCGATTCGACCCTCCAGCCCCGTTGCGATCATCTTTAACAGCGAACGTTTGTACGCAGAAAACGGCACCTCTGGAATCATACGCAAACCCAACAACGGCCTCCTCAAACCAGTCGCGTACCATGTTCTCGTAGTGCCCCGTGGAACCAATCCACTGGTCAACGCACGACCTCGCAATGTCTCCACCTTCGAAGTTGTATGCGATGTTTTCCCCGCCTAGTCTTCGGCCACACCTGATTGCGTCGTTGGCGGTGTCGAAGTCTTGGTGCTCCAATTCTCCCCTCCTCGCCAGTTCTTTAGCGTACTTGTTCGCGTTGTTCAGCTGGCTCATTGAACCAACGGTCAACATTGTGGAGACCCCAGCGTCTCTCCTGACTTCATTAGTGTATTTGACAGCTTTCATGCACCAACACTCCATATCATTCTTGCCACATTCATCCGGGACCATTCCAGAATTAGGCATCGTCTCCGACGTGGTAGGGGGCTCAGTAGATGTAGTGACTTCCGTCGTCATTGGGGGCTCAGTCATAACAGTGGCTTCGGTAGTAGTCGGGGCCTCCGTTGTAACGGAAGGCTCCGTGCTCGTCGGAGCCTCAGTGGTCGTCGTGACTTCAGTCATGGTCATTGGCTCAGTAGTCGTAGGGGCATCAGTCACTGGCGGCGCAGGTGATCCGGATGAACTGACTGCCTGGCAACTCGGTCCACTGGGGCTGCCGTTTTCACTGTTTTCGACCGCAAATGTCTGAACGCAGAATACGGCACCTCTGGAATCGTATGCAAATCCGACTACAGCCTCCTCAAACCAGTCGCGCACCATGTTCTCGTAGTGCCCTGCGGAACCAATCCACTGATCAACGCACGACCTCGCAATATCTCCACCCTCAAAGTTGTATGCGATGTTCTCACCGCCCATACTACGACCACACCTGATTTCGTCATTGGCAGTATCGAAGTCTTGGTGCTCCAACTCTCCCCTCCTCGCCAATTCCTGCGCGTATCTGTTCGCGTTGTTAAGCTGACTCTTTGAACCAACCGTCAACATTGTGGAAACACCAGCATCTCTCCTGACTGCATTAGTGTATTTGACAGCTTTCATGCACCAACACTCCATATCATTCTTTTCACATGAACCATCCTGGTGAACAGATCGTGGAAGAGCGATCGAAGATTGCGTTCTCGTAATCGAAGTGGCGGGATAAAGACCACGGACAACAAAGGATGATGCTGCGAAGCCTTTCTTTGACTGGAGCCGGGCGCTGGGCAAAGTACGGGCCGCTCTGCAAGCGCTGATGCAGAACAAGAGGAGGCAGGACAGCGTGAAAGCAGGTGCATGAGTTCTCATCTCGGATTGCGAATATTCTGACACGGGAGTCCGTACTGATAAACCGCGGTTTGATGTCGGTAGCTGACTTCAACCGGAGAGGGAAAGAGAAAGCTGGGGTAACAAACCTCTGCTCGGCACGGAACCAACCGAACACTTTATACGAAATCGGAATGCTGGTGCTTCGAGACGACTATGGCACATCTTTGCGTCAGCAAATGCAGCGAAAGGGACAGCTGTCGGACGAATGACGTGTTTCCGTCGGCTCTCTCTCGGGAGTGGGAAGCGTGGGCAAAGGAGAGGAAAGTTGGTGCGTACAAGAGGTTCAGGTAACAGGTACGTGGATAGTGAATGGAGTATCTTGTCAGGTTCTCTGCTTGTCTATGTTTGGATACAGTGCTAGTACTGTACCGATTAGCAGATAGGAAGATAAATCATTTTCTAACGGCATACCTTCTGGAAAGCATACGTTGTGATCGAAGAGGTTTGTCTTCCACGTGAATACACCTCTGCAGCTTGTGTTACGTACAGTAGCTTAGAAGTGAGAAGGAAAGACATGCCTCCCTCGTCCCAACAGATGGTAGACATTGTGGCAGGACGTCGTACAGTAGACAGATTCGGGACACTGTCACCGCATTAGTGAAAGACATCGGATCCAGCGACAGAGCCATGCACAGAGAAGCGGTCATGAATGAGAGCATCACGGAGAAAAGGGCATACAGCAACTGGGAAGTGGGTGAGCGAGGTTTGATCAATGCGCTGGTATAGATATTTATGTGAGGGTGGGAAAGTTAGATATTCGTGGCACGGGCCTGACAAGTACACGGCTCCTATTTTACATTTATAGAAGTTGTCATACAATTGTGTGCCTTTCGGTCACACTGCAGCGCCGCCGTGAAGCGAGAAATGAGGAGGGAAAATATAGACGTTGGCGACCTGGAGTTGAAGATAGGAAATGAAGAAGTACACGTACTTCATGTCTACCTTTTGAGATAACCGGTGACCTGATTGAGCTGGTACAGTAGTGTACGGTACAAGTACTACACTTACACAAGGATACAGTATCTTATGCTCTTCCTACATTCAGACCAACAAACTCGTCGGAGTGTATGGAGTAATTTCTGAATTGAATTGTGGGGGACATTCATAGAATAATAATAAATGTTGTCTTTTGGATCTATTTCAGGAAAAAATGATACAACTTGTTGAAATTTGGCCAAATTTGAGCACTCCTCGTATCGCGCTCATGAGCACCCACGTCGAAGCACTCCTGAGTGTGAAACGTGGAGCGGCAAGTCTCAAGACCCCCTGCAAGGACGAGCCGTTGGCACGACTATCCGACGAGTTCGTATCGCCACCAAAGCATGAGCCCATGAAACAACACGTAAGTCGTTTCCACTCGCCAGTTACATGTCCCGTCGTAACACTATTCAAATTTGTTGTTACGCATCTCAGAATATTCTCCTGAGCAAAGGTCCAACCAAGTTTACCCTTTGGCCTTTCGACAATGCAATGACTACAAAAATTGGAGACCTGTTGCTTTTCAACGAAATCTCGTGCACTACGTGGATACGGAATTATATGGTCCGTAACAACACAAGCCGGTCTATGCAGTACAACGTCGGAATTGATGCAGCTTCTGCCGAGAAGGAGAGTATTCCTTTCTTGCAAAAGATACAATATCTTGAATTGTGTCACACGTTGTTCTACTCCACCGTAATAATGTGAAATGGAACCCTGGAAATTGTCTCACAAATAAGTCTGCCCGACGCCTTTTTCACCAGAGAACTCTATATCTCAGTATTTGCAACGATAAACCAGTCGTCATCCTCGTCTCGAATTGTTAAATTACCCCGCCCGAGGCGCTAACATATCATCAAATAAATTTGTCCGAATCCCTTCAACCTCGCTCATTTCAATGCTCTCATGGCTTGAGCAGAAGCACAGGCAAAACGCACATGGAATACGAGAATGAAAACAGGAATAAAAATAGTGTTCGCGGAGCGCATGACTTGTTTTTATGGGTCCTTCAAAATTTCTGGCTATTGCCACCGAATGCGAATATGCTCGATTTCTCAATCAAAGTTTCTGCATCCAAAGTTTTCCAAGTTCGCGACTCTCACAGCGAGACATTGACCATGTCCACGAATTTCGCTCTCAGTGGTTCGAAGTGGAGAGCTCTG